TTTTTAAGCTTCTCTTTTTGAGGTTTAGTAGTACATGCTGCTTTTTTTGGGGGGGAGGGGGTTAATAGTTTAGAAAAGAATGAAATTCTCTTTCTATTTATGTATTTGCATATATATATATATATATATATATATATATATACACATATATAAAGATCTTGATTCTTTTCTAAAACATTACCAAAAACAACAACAAAATACACCACCATTACAGATAAATTAGACTGTAAACAAATGGAGAGAAAGATATGCTATGCAAATTGAGAAAAGGGAATGAAAATACAAATATATTTCAGCTACATCTACAGTGAGAATAAATATAAATACTGAGATAATGAGCCAAACTTGTTTTTAGAATACTTTCATTAAAGTTTTAAACAATTTTCAAGAAGTATATTTGATTTCTAATAATGTTTAAAGAAAATCAACCAAAACTTTTTTTTGCAACACCTCACCAACAATAAGTTCTTTGAATTTATAGTAATAAATTAATATCACCATATAAGCCATATCTTAAACACAATCTTCTTTTTGTAAACATTTTCATATTTCTCATATTTTCAAAAAGAAAAAAGCTTAAGGCTTAAAAACAAAATTTAGGAACAAAGTCTAAGCTAAAATACTGTTCTCCCTCCAGCAACCGAGTTGAAAAAAATATGATACAATATTTGTCAGAAATAACAAAGCAATGAATTGTGAAGCTGTAAAAATTCTGTTTTACACTTTATTTTTGTTTTATCCAAATATGAAAAATAAAAACACTTTGTGGCAGAGGGAATTGAGGGAAAACAATCTTTTAAGTTGGCCCAAATATTGATACAATGAGAAGAGTAACTCAATTTCAATCTTTGAATTTGAAAGAAAAAGGAAGAAAATAACTGAAACAAGTAGTTCTAAAGTCCTTTAATACATCAAGAAACTTTTTGCTTCATTAGTTAATATATGGCACCATATATAGAGCAATTTCATTTTTTAAAAACTAATAAATTCCTGCAAATTGTAACAATAAGAAAATAAATGAAAGATCGAAGCTTAGGTAGTCTCACTTTCCAAGGTATATTTTAAACTGTAATTTTCTCAATGGTACAATCTTAGAGTAATTAAAATTTTATTAAATTTCTTTAAAAATCTCCACCATCTGCTTAGTTCAAATTCTCTAGGTTTCTGTTACTTACTTTACTGGACAATTATAAACAAACATGTCATATCCAAGTAAATACAAAAGCAAACTATAAAAACTAGTAAAAATGACAATACATTTATGTGCATTGCTATTTCTTGATAAGTATGTGTCACACACAAAATATGTTAATGGGTGAAGACAGCTTTGTACAATTTTCCTCTTACAGAATTATAAGGTTCTCCTTATAAGTCAAACCATATAAAACACTAAGAAAAACATTTTATTTCACTTCCCAAACCTTTGACCACAAAATCACTTTAAACTTTTTCACTTTCACATGTAGACAAGTTTAAACAATATTGCACAAACTAGCTAAATCTGACAAACTTACTAAAAAAAAGATAACGTGGTATATACAGTATATTACAAAATGGCATATTTCAAGAAATATTTGTAAAAAATTCTAAGGCTTACTATGCAAAATATTCTATTTATGAAACAGCTGTAACATATAAAAACAATCTAATAGCTGAGAATAACTTAATTCAATCTACACTACATTAAGAAAAGGCCCATAATCTCCTCTTTAACAACACTTTTTATTATTTCCCACAAGTCACATGAATAAGCTTCATTGCAGACATAATATCCCTTATTAAGCCTATAAACCAAATTTAGGTCAATATCCTACACTTACAGTATATTTCTTCATCCTGTGAAGACACACATACACTTGCTTGTAAAGACATAGATGTTGGTACTTAAGCACTTTAAAAAATACAAGTTACAAAACTAAACAAATCAAATTAAAATGTACTTATCTTATTTACAACTATAAGGATGGAAGGTTTTATAATGAATAAAAAAAATTATCAGTATGGAATAAAGTAATAAAATGCCATACAATCATGATTAACACAACAATATTATCTTTTATCTATGTACCTGTACAATGTATTAAATGTAAAGACAACATCTACCTAATGAAAAAATACTAAAACCCCATCATTACTTTAAATTACTCTGAAACATTTAAAGATAAAGATAACAATAAAAAAAATATATGTAAAAATATGTGAAGCAATTCACACAAGCTAGCTGAACTTTACCAGGGTACACTTAAAATCAACAAGGCATAATAAGCACATATACAACAGTAACTAGATGCCTTTCTGTCTAGATACAATGAATGCAAGCCAGCTATAATAAATATGTACTAGCCTAGCTACATCTACACGTAGCTCTTATATTGGATTACAAATGTTTTCTCTGTAACAAAACTATACTGTTTATTAGAACTATTTTTTTCAAACAGTTTTTAACATAATTTTCATCCTATTACACACACTTATTACATACACAGTGTATTATTCTTAGCTTCTTTAATACAGTATATTGTTTCTTAATGATACCTTAAATGAAATGATTCAACCAATTTCTATCCATTGAAAAATAAGTTAACTTTTTAGAGCTTTTTCACATTTCACTAAATTCCTGAAAGTGCCTTATACCCACAATTTGAAGCCAAGTAAAAACTCAAGATCTATTGGAAATTATACATCTTTTGGCTAATGAAACAAAAAGAATGCTATGTATTTACAATCCAGTCAGCTTTGCACATTTAAAAGTTGACTAAATTTAAAACAAGGGAAACTTACACAAGCATACATAAAAAAGATATATATAGAGGCATGCATATAGAGAGGTACCTTACACTAATACTATATATATATATATATATATATATATATTTATTTATTTATTTATTTATTCATAATATACATTTATATATATGTATGTCATATGTATACATTTATTATATACAGCTTCACATCTTGTCTAAATATTTCAAGAACAAATCCCATAAAAGAAATTTTGGAATTTTTGTTGTTGTTCTTATAATTAAACATTCTGTTATGCTAACATTTCAGAGCAACTATGTTTTTGTCTTTCACCCCCATTTACTTTACATATTTGTAGAAAACTACTAACACAATGACCTTCAAGATTACAATGAAGCTCTGAGGCAAAGACAAAAAAATAGCAAAATATAAACAAATCTAAAAAAGATTCACACTATAGCACACTATATTTACTTGCAGAAGACTTTTTTAACCCACAAAAAATTGTTAAGCAAAAGGCTAAAAAAATCTCTTAATAGATGTCTTCACATAAACCTAAAAAGTTCTAACATCCCATTCACTGATTTATTTAATAACCAATTATTCTAGCAACTAGCAATAATGTCAATGCATTTTAAATTAGGTTAAAACATTATGTAATTTTCATCTGTGAAAAACTTGTCAATCTCGTTTATTTAAAAAAAGTTAATCGTTTACAACTAAATAAATCATTTTCTTTCTATTACTTTCCAACATCCCTTTCCACAAGGAAAGTTTGTAATTAATTGTAAAAAACAAAAAGTAATACAAGCTGTCAATA